CCATTCCCATTTGACTCATTCCTGACGACAACTTGATAAGAAACCAAGCAGAACGATTATTATCGTTTCTGTTGCAGGTGATGTAATACTGGGATCAGTTCTTGGAACAGGCCATTTCTTTTGGAAAGGGATGGCATTAAGTGGCCTTTGAGTTTGAAAAGGAGCTTGTATGAGAGTGGCATTCTCATACACTCCACCTCCTTTTTGAACTGCATTCATGCTCGCTATTTTAAATGGTATTAGACAACTGATTTGTCAAATAGATCCAAACGCAGGAACACATTTTATACAGCTCATTCTAGACCTGCAAAAAGAAAGTGTGTTGCCCTTTGGATCTTGAATTGGCAATACAGTACAAAAAAAGGAAAGCAAACTTCAGCAATAGGAGCTGTTTGCCAACCTAAAATACTAGACTAAGCACAGAACCCATCTCTCCTCTTTGCCTATCTCTTTCTTTTGAGCCTCCTGCCTTTAGAGCCACTAGGTGATGGATCAGCACAGTGCTCATATCCAAGCCCTTGTAGCAGCACAAAGCTCATAGCTGTCCTGCCTTGAGGCTCCCCCTTGTACTCCTCAAGACTCATGGCAGGCTTAGGCTCCTCTTAGCAGCAAGACTGGTCTTAGCTTGTGCGTTGGGCTCAGTTTTGTAAGGAGGAAGGGAGGAGAGAGGCCTTTCCTGCCCACAACACACAGCCACTGCTTGGCCTTGGGACGTGCATCTTGCCACATCTCTTTGGTAAGACATGCAAATCACCATGTTACGTGCTCTCCTATCCAAAGAGGAGGGAGACAATTCAGCTCTGCAACATTTCTATATCTGGAATGGGAAAGGCAGCAAAACCTTAGATATCTTGCACTGAAAAGTGTCGTCTGCTTAATTGCATGGTGTCTTATAATCTGAACAGTGATATACAGTAATGAGTTGTCACTTGTCCTTGAGGAATTGGCTCACACAAACATAGAATGGTGAGCCCTTGGACCCAGAGAGTATCTTGAATGCTTTGCGAATATATGCGTGTCTTGGAATTTGGTTAAAGTCCTAAAACTTAATGTACCATTTAATTGTGACGTTTCTAAAAATTCGATACAGAGCAAAATACCATGTTTTGCTGCATTTTGCTGTTAAAGCTGAAAACAATGCCGTCTTTTATTTCCTGTGCTCTTTTTTAAGGAAGAGTAAGCAAACCTAGAGGAAATGTGAAGAAGTTTCTTACCGAAGATTTAAGATAAACAGAATCTAATCAAATAGTGAATGTGAAGTATTCATTTACTTTTTCTGAATCAAGGCTGAAAGCACTAAGCTGGGGGAAGGGGAGAGGAAAACAGACCGTCCCCAATACGTCTACAGTGTACATCGCCGAAGTAAAGTTCACAAGTGCCCTGCCTCAGATTCCCGTGTTTGTCGTGTTACATCATTTGAAATATAAATGGTTGATTGTGTAGGGGTTGGTTGAAGTAGTTTAAAGTCTCTGGTCAGTCAGGGGACTTGAGGGCTAGTCTCCAAGGCCACATATACAGCACTTATTAGCATCTGTGGCATATACTGCTTTCTGTTTTGTCACCTCTGTTAAGAATGCTCCAAACCTTTGTGAACAAAGCTGCGAACGCTATGCAGAGTTTGCATTAAAAAGGTCTCGAACAGCAGTTGATATCTAGGAAGAAAGTTGATGGTTTTGCTGCTAGCTGCGTGTGTGATGCTTATCTCTCTACTTCACTGTCTGCAACTGTAAATTCTGAAAAGCTACTTTTCCATAAGGTAATTTGAGGTTTTTATGGAAAAGAAGGAAGCCCTACATGTGTATTAAGGGGCAGCCTGGGAGGAGGGAAGATGGGAGAGGAAATTAAAGAGCAGTAGTACTCCATGCTGCCCTCCCGTGGGGATGGTTATTTTTCACAGAGGGATTTTTTGCAATATAGCTTAACCTATTTACAAAGGGGACTAAAAAAAAAAAAATAGTGTGGAAAAGGATCCACACTAGGGACCATTCATAACTGCTATTCCAAGATTTTCCCCTGCAAGACAGATCCCAAAATGTATCAGGCCTTGAGTAGGAGTTTCTTTTAAATGGGAGTTAAAGAAGGAGACTCAGACTGACAGCAGCTGAATCTTAAGAGTTATATATTCAGCAGATCAGTAATAGCTGTATTTTTTTTTTTTTTTAATTTGGAAGGAAAATGAACCGGTTGCTTAAGTTAACATACAACATCCTATTTGCATATAGAATGGTGATTATATTTGGATAAGGATTAAGCCGATGAAGGAAAATTCACATAACATACCCCAGATGACGTAAAACGGATGTTCCAAATTACAGACCCTGAGACAGTGTGAGTGGTCTGTGGAACTGTATTAAATAGTAAAATCAGACTTGTAAATTAAGCTTGATTAGTTCATGTTCCTCAAGAAACCGAGGTTGATGTTTGTCCAAAAAGTTTTGGAACGATTGGCACAGAAAAGCAGAAGATCTGGCAAAAATAATCCTCTGCAAATAGCAAAGTTAGTGTGTGTTTTCTCCTTTGTGCAGCTGTCAGGAAAGTCCACTGTTGGAAGAAGTCACTCTTAGAGGATTCGGCCATTATTACTCACTTTTGAAGTTTATGATGGCCCAGTACAGGCCATAAATACATAAATATACGGTCAACAGTAATAATTCATAAAGTACAGCTTGGTCCTATAAAATGGTGTTAAAAGTACAAATTAACATAATGTGGTGGTTTCTTGGGTGATTGACTCTTCAAACCATAGAGCTTTGTAAATGTTCCTACATGATCTTACCGGTTTTCAGTAAATCTGTCCTCTGGGGTGCCTTCTGTAGTTCATACAGCATTAAACACATTTGGGGTTTTAGCACTTTAGGATACAAGTAGTTGGCCAAACGGAGCCCGGAGTTGTGATAAAATAATTGCTTCAGCCTTTGGTTAAACATCTGTATTGCTCGTGAGCATGCCTGACAGCTGTGATTTATCCTTTCCTTCTTTTATAGTGATCGACACCATACATCCAGTGCAATTCCTGTTCCAAAGAGACAAAGCTCCAGCTTCGGCAGATTGGATATTGGCTTTTCCAGTGGGCTTCCTTCTCCAGATAAAGGACTCCGAAAACGAGCCAGCACGGGAAATGAAAGACTACAGTACAAAACTCCTCCTCCTAGTTACAACTCTGCTTTAACACAGCCTGTTGCCATCACAGCCCATGTGGGAGAGTTAGATAAAAAACCTGGATCGATATCTTCCTCATTGGATACCTCTATGGACTCCTCGAAGGGAAATACCAAGAAAGGCGAGGACTTGTGCGGCGGTTTAAATGGAGAAAATGGGAGCCTAAACAGTACCCGAGACCAGCAGGAGTCTTTCCTAGGACATACTAGTGCAATAAATGGGGCGTTTCTGCCCGGTGAGTGCTCTGGCACTGCGAGCAACGAGCAGCCCTGTGAGTTTCATCCCTCGCTCAGCCCCGTCCTTTGCTGTACCGTGGAGCAAGCAGAGGAGATCATGGGGATGGAAGCAACGGGGTTCAGCACGGCAGACCAGCTAGAAGACTTTAACTCCATCCCGGTGGAGCACGCCGTGGCCGTGGAGTGCGATGAACAAGTCCTAGGGGAGTTTGAGGAGTTCTCTCGAAGGATCTATGCACTGAATGAGAACATGTCCAGCTTCCGCAGACCGCGTAAAAGTTCGGACAAGTGAGCTTGGACAGGGATTTGATAGCAGACATTGAGGTGAAATCAGTGATCTGGAATAGAGATAAAATTGCACTTATTCTTTATATTAATTATAAAAAAAATTAAAAAGCTATTCCTATGGTGTTAGACAAATGGACTTGAGCATGATAACACAGGATCATGGTATATTCCCAGCCCAGGTAAATTTTGATTCTGCTTCCAGTCCTCTTATGTCTGGTATTTATAATCTGTTGGAAGTTTTTTTTTTTTAGGCGTTGGAATCCATTTATAAAGGCTTTCCTGGAAACAACTTCTAGTGCTGATCAGGCCCTTCTGTGAATATTTGTTAATTTCTTAATTATTATTTAGAGTTAAGTTTATTTTAATCTTTTCAGAAGAAAAAAGTTAATTTAAAAGTACATTTATGGGAAGACCTCTTTACCCTCTCCCAAGTACTCCTGTGTTTTCTTGAGCAATGTAGTCAGTGTTACAGAAATACCATGGATTTGTTCTAATTGGACAGCTTTATCTTGGCTGTGCTTTGTAGCCTTTGAAGTTCTAGTTTGCACTGATGGGTCTTCAGTTGGTGGTGTAAACTTGCCAGAGAATGAGCACCTGTATGATATCTGCAGTTTCCTTGCACCTGATTAATCAGAAATGACATTTTTCTTCCCCTCCTTTCCTCCATACTTCACTGTTCCTACCAGCAGAAGCCTTGAGGACTAAATCCCCTCTAAAGTTTCCTACAAAAATCTCAGCCTGACCGTTCCCCACCTCAGCTGGGCACAGACCTCATCAGTAGAGACCTAACGAATGCACTACCTAAGTGGGGTCAGCTGCCACCCTCCGAGGTGTCTAATGGGGACAGCGTGCTGTGAGGCACTTCAGACATCTTCATAAAAACCCAGACTGCAAATGCAGTCAGCACTTTGGAATTAGGCAAATTTGTGGAATCGCTCTACCCTCTGTAGAAAGGAGGCACCTAACATTATTCATCTAAATTAATATCCTTTTAACCATCTGTACTTTTAAAGGAAGCAACTTCCAGTGGTTCGCTGGAGGTGCGGTTTGCTGTTAGGTAGGTTACCACTGGCACATGTGTTCAGCTGCACTAATGGGAAAGCAATTTGCAGCTTGCTTTGTGATTCCTGGTATTTGTTTCAGTTTGGATTTCATTGCTTTTGCTTTCTATATTGTATACCCAAGAATTTGGGCTCAGTTGTGAGCTCTCAAATATAAAAATATATAGCAGAATAAAAAACACTTCATCATGCCTGGCTTTTTTCCCTCCCTGGTCTCTGCTTTCTTTTGAACCAATGACCTAGTCTTTTTCTTAACTTCACCATAAGGCTAGCCTAAATTAACTTTTTAAAATGTGGATATGTATAATCTCAACTATCTGTTGTCGGAACAAGACGTGTATGTGAGAACCAATATACATAATAGCACTGTTCTAGAATATACATTTTTCCAGGTAACACCTTAATGATTGTATTAAAATTATATTCACATTTCTATTAGCTTTTAACAGTTGTGTCTGCAATTGAGTTGTTGGATCGAGCCTTTCTACAGCGATTCATTATTTTTGGTCTATCCCAGTACGGTGTGCTAGATGGAAGCACTCAGAAACAGAGACCTCGATTCTGTAAGTTGTTGAACATGATTCCAGGTGCAAACTTGGGCATGAAGTTGGGCACATTCATGTGTATCTTCTTTCTTGAATAAGTTCCTCTGTTCCAACCTCATGAAAAGCCTCCCTAAAGGAAATGCTGCAACAGCTTAAAGCACTATCATCATCTTTGAGAAGAGATAGGTAGGAGATTATCCCTGTACTTTGGCATCCTGAGAGCCACCAGAAATGAACTCCTGAAAAGCATAGCACTTATTAATGAAGTGGGCATAAGGCACTCAGTCCTGTGACTATATCTTACCGTCTTCTGATAACAGTATAATTTTAGGTGAAATTAGGGGAGGTTGAGCCAGTCATGCACCCTGCGGGATGGGATCTGGCATGCTCAAAGCAGCGCAGCCCTTCTGTTTGTAGGCACACTTATTTTCCTCTATAACGGAAAGCATTAGCTTGTGTGTGGTGGTGACTTTTCAAAGCAACCCAAAGAGTAGTTGTGAAGTCGCTATGTTTCGTAGGCAAACACAGAGTGTCTCAGTGCAATTAAGCGACACGTGAAGTTAGGTTCATAGAGCATCAGCGGGACTTCGGATTTTTTTTTTTTCATTAGTTGCGCATATTCTCAGGTTGCACCCGACCAAATGAAGTCTAGTTTTCCTCCCTGATGTTGTGTTGCTGTTCCTGTTTGAGCCCTGTAATTGTTAATGTGTCAAACACGATGGTTGATTTCTGCATCTGTCGCACAAAGCTGCTTTGACGGGCTATCTATGGATGTATCTTTAGTAGGCCTTAAACTGTCCCCACGTTTTTCTTCCATTTTCATCGCTTTCTATATAGAAGGTGGTGTGAAGGGGGACAGCATCATAGGGCTAACTAAAGCATTGGCAAACTTCTCGTAGCTGTGAGGATGGGGGACTGTACAGACTACAGCCACCTCATGCTTTCTTATGATTATTCCCCACCCCCTCAGTAAATTACTTTGAAAATAGCGTAGAGGGAGAGAAACAAATAGTAGGTTTGAAGGTGAGATGATGTATCACAGTGTGCTTTAAACTGCCAAGAGCCTTTCAGTTCCTGCACAGCTGTGACACTGTTAAATGTCTGCAAATGTCTTCAAGTGGAGAAAACGTTTCATTGCAATCTTCTCCCCTCATTAGGAATTCCTAAGATTTTTGAGAATATTAGTTTTGGAAGATCATATCCCACTATATTTTTATAGCAAACACAACAGCATTGGCTTATCCTTGCTTGACCAGGTATTTAAAATAAGCAAGATCAGAATATCCCATAGTAAATGACACATTGAAACTATGTTGGTAATTGCGGGAAAGCTCATCTGTATTTATAAAATAAAACTGATTAGTATCTCTCAACTTGTGTGTCATCTTTTAATGACTCCTTTGTGTTTGTTTTCTTTACAAGCCTGATTTGAACCATAGTGTCCTCCCCAGCCCCCCAAACTCTTTGGCTTTGTTGTTCATCAAGCCTATATTGATCCAAATGTGGATATTTGGGCAAGAATTTGCTAGAAGACCTGACTGCCTAGCTGCCTCCAAATTGTATTTCACACGAGATGGTACTGCAGTTCTTTTTCAAGCTCCTTCCAGAAAGATGGCACGCAGCTGGAAAAACAGCTACAGCGTACAGTGGGGCTGGGAGGCAGCTGGATTTGCAAAACTTTTATGGATAGTGGAAACGCCGTGTTCCCTCATCAGGGAGGCATTGCTACTCATCCAGCACCTTCTGTGATCTGAACTAATAAGCAACATATGTCTGCCTAAGAAGCTTATGTTCCCCTTGAACAGGAGTCTACTGCACGAGTCTTTGGAGGAGGCTGTCCACGACATGGAGTCACTGGTGGGAAGCAGTGTAATATGAAGAACTACAGGGACTCTCCAGGCATCATCAGTGCAACAGGTTTTTGGGGGGTTTTCTGTTCGTTTGTGTGTTTTTTTCCTTTTATCCCACCCAATCTGTCTGCCAGCAGAGAGTAAAATGACAAGATGCCAACTGCATGGTCCTAGAGCTGAAGTGGGAAGATACAGGAGAGAAATTTTACTTTAAGCTGTTTTTCAATATTGAATGGCTTTATTGAAATGTAGTTGCTTTAAAGTGAACAATAAACTGTGAATGGAAAGGGGTTTATTGAAGTATAACTGGAGGTGCTGCTTGAAGTGGACTTGTTCTAGATAAGCCTTGGGCTCTTCTCTGCCTCATTTTGTTACCTTTCAAATGGCCAAAGAGGGGATTTCTCCTTGGTTTCTGAGTTTTGACCTTTTTCAGGTGGAAGTGTGTGTTCGCATATGCTCTGTGTCCTCTGAATTGATGTGGTTTAGCTGGTATCTTTGAGCAGCCATAGACTCTTTGGGTTGGAGGGGACCTTTTAAGGTCATCTAGTCCAACCCGCTGCCATGAGCAGGGACATCTTCACCTAGATCAGGGTGCTCAGAGTCCCCTCCAGCCTGACCTTGATAGGTTGTTTTGATAAAACCACTCTTGAAATTCTGAATTTCTGACTTCTAGAATAGCTGTATCCATTCTGGTCTGGATTGTCCTGATTTTTTGCAGGGACAAAAAAATCCCTTTCTGTGTTACACTTATTGAAAGAAACTAAAGCACTGGCCATCAAAAAAAAAAAAAAAGTTTTAGAAGAAATGAAACAAAGGTTTCATTGACACAGGTCCGTTAAGCCTTGAATTGGCTCGAGTAACCCATGTGAACTGGCACAGCTTTCCTCAAGCTACAGCAAGCAGATGCTTTCTGACCTTGCACAGGGGAAGCATTCTCCCAGGAACGTTAGCGGAGGAGAATGTAACCTGTGTTTTTCTGCTGTGCCTCGAAGCCCGGATGGCCAGCCAGCGCTTGCAGGAGAGGGGGGCAACAGCCCTCAGCCTGATGCTGAGCGCCTATGTTGATGACCCATGGTAACTGAAACATGTTCAAGCTGTTTATTTAAGCAAAACTAAATGTAGTTTCTTTGGCTGGGCAGAGGTGAGACGGGGAATAAATCTAACACTTGCTCTAATTATTGATTTTTTTGGCCTTTTGGCAGCAGCGGCTTTGGCTTTCCGTCATGTGTCCACCTGCCAGCAGTACTACACGGTCCGCTTGCCAGCGCCAGAGGCATCATGTAATTGCAGCAACCAGCCCCCAGCTCCTGCAAGGTACCTTGTGAGCTGCCTTACCTGGCGTAATTTTCATGTCTCTCTTAAAATGGGGGTTTGCACAACAAGTTGCGTGGTCGTGTCTCAAGTGTTAACCCTGGACAACTCCTAATAAGCAACTCCTGAAGTGCGGTAGCGTGATAATGCTGGTATAATCAGATCTATAAACATAGAACAGTCCCAGCTGCCTAAAAATTTCATATAAAATGGCTGTATTTTTTAAATAGTGTAATAAGTTACGACAGTCAATGAAGCTGCGTATGCATGAAAAGCTGTTGAGCTTCAACATGCAGTTGGTACGGGTGGAAAACCTGCCAGCCCAGCCATCATGCTTCTGCCAGGCACATTGGCCTGGGTGTGGGGACTGCACCCCATGGACAGGACGGGCAGAAGAAATCCGGCCATTGAGAAGTTCATTCTTTCTTCATTTTCCTTCTTACAGAAGGTGGAAGATCATGGCAGCATGGTGCAATGGTTGGGTTACCCGTGCCTGCCCAGGGTTTAATCCCAGCTCTA